TACATTTTGAGTTGGGGAGCCATTCTTTCATTTATTAGTTTTATACTGTGCTTTTTCTTTAAGAGCTGGAGGTAGTAGTACACATCTTTTTGGTTGTCCCCCTACAACAACCCTGTGCAAAAAATTGGGCTTGAGAGAGAGCTTGACTGGCCCAAAGACAGTGACAGCACTTCCATGGCTGAAGGTGAAGCAGAACCTAGTTTTATTTCCCTCCCCTTTATGCAGTTCATTAACTATCTTAATTATACTGGTTTAAAGCCTAGGTTGTGCTTTCTACTCAGTTGGATATAAGAAATGCTTTTAGTCTCCACATTGGAGACACCCAGTCCTCTGTATCTCTTTCCAGAAAGTAGAACAGGAAGTGTTAAGGTATTTTGGAACTAACTGATGCTGATTCTATATCTTTATTCTCATGCCATAATCCTGGGGAAACAGCAATCATTATTTATGCTGCTGTCGAGTTTCCAAAAGATGCCCTAATTCCGTGATGGCGAACCTATGGCACGCGTGCCACAGGTGGCATGCGGAGCCATATTAGTGGGCATACCAGCTCAGGTCTGGGGCGCATGTGCGCGCCGGCCAGCTGATTTTCGGGCCTTCTGGGCCTACCAGAAGTAGGGAAACAGGCTGTTTCCTGCCTCTGGAGGGCCTGGGGGGGGTGGGGAAGGCCCGTTTTTCTTTCTTACCTGGCTCCAGATCCTCTCTGTGTATCTGGGAAGGGCGAAAACAGCCTTTCCCACTCTCTTGGAGGCCCTACGGAGGCTGAAAGGGCCCATTTCCCGACTCCCGGTGGGACAGGAAGTGACATTTTTTCCTGTCCCCAGCCTCCAGAGACTCCTAGAGAGGCTCCTAGAGACTCCTAGAGAGGTTCTGGAGGCTGGGGACAGCAAAAAATGTCACTTCCTGTCCCACCGAGAGTTGGGAAATGGGCCCTTTCAGCCTCTGTAGGGCCTCCAAGGGAGTGGGAAAGGCTGTTTTCGCCCTTCCCGGATACACAGAGAGGATCTGGAACCAGGTAAGAAAGAAAAACGGGCCTACCAGGCCATCATGTGCCAGGAGCGGGGGGGAGGGGGTTGCGCACGCATGCGCGTGGGCACGTGCGTGCACGACCCTCCCCCGCCCCCCCTCTCCTGGCACACGATGGCAAAAAGGTTAGCCATCACTGCCCTAATTAATTCATGAGCCATGATCCAAACTTCAAAGGAAATACAGTCATTTATTATACAGTCATTCTGGCAATACTCGGATGCAGTTAGGACTGATCCCACGTAGATTTACGTTCCCTATGACCCTGTCTCTCCCCTCCTCTCTGGCCATGTCATAAATCACATTCTCCAATTAACCACTTTGGCTGGCTGTGAAACCTAACATCCTCCTTTTGATTGCGGTCAGGAAGAATGTATGGAATTCACTTCAGTTCTCCCTCCCTCCTGCTCATGGCAACTTGAAAGCTTTGCAAGTTGACAGCTGCCTTGAGTTATACAAAAGAAACATTGGACATAAATCTAATCATTCAATCCTTGAGTGCAGGCCTTGGAAATTCTGCTTAGCTTCTATGACTTCTCGGAATTGGAAAGTGATCCATGGCTGCTGAAAAACTTGTTCAAGAGATACATAGGCATTCTCCCATATCAGAATAATGCTTAGCACTGCCTGAAATATGCTTCTACCCTTTGGATTTGTCAGGCGCAGGCTGAAGGTGAGGCTGGCTGAAACAGAATCGGAAAATTACAGTTTAAAATCCTTGACATCAACATTATTTCATTAGCCAACCCCCCAAAAAAGGGGGGGGGCAATGATTTCTCAAATCCCATGATCTTCTAGAACCATAAGGAGGATGAGTGGTGTAATTTACATATGTATGTTTAAAAAGTTCTCTGTTTTGTAGGGGAGCCAGAGTATGACATTCCATTTGTCAGGCATCCTATGTCTAAGTTCTCTGGAAACTCTAGTGACATTGACACCAATTTCACCTAGCACAAACATCCACTTTATCCCTTATGGATATTCTCTAGTCCTCTCAATTTCTTCCTATCCTAAGTGGAAATTAAGTTTAATATGACGAAAATGTGACTTTGGAGTAGAAAGCTAAAGGCACCAGACATTTAGGTTAGGTGCAAAGGATCCAAAATTCAAGAAAGTTGAAATTCATCATCATTCTTAAAGTTTTCTCCTTCTCCTCTCCCACTTCCTCCTCCTCCTCAACTCACCTTTTATAAATGCAATATGGCAATCACGCTTAATGCCCCTTCCTTCTATTTCCCACCACAACTCTATAGGGTGAGCTGGGCTGAGAGAGCATGATTGGCCCAAAGTCATTCAGTTGGCTTTCACATCTAAGGGAGGTCTAAATTAGAATTCACAGTCTCCAAGTTTCTAGGCCAGGGTACTACCCACTACATGAAAAACTACATCTACTACAATTGTCAGTTTTCCTCCAACAATCTTGGTGACTAGCATGGTGAACTGTTGCGAAGGTTTTATATTCAACAGTACAATTCCCAAGAACTCATAAACAAATGTAACATATACAGTGTATAGATGTTTCTTGAATTAGTACTCAACTACTATCAGACACTGATATGATTGTGTTCTGGATACTGTTTATAACAGATTAACAAATGTGTTAACAGCCATCTGCTATTCCTGCCTTACTCAAGATTCAATCAATGAATTTTTAGTGACGAAAACCAGAGCTGAGTCTTTATGGATAACTGCACTGCAGAATAAATCAAAAAAATTAAAAGAAGTTGTTAAAAGCATCAGGACTTCTGCTTTCTCCAAGTTGCTGTTCCCCCAGATATGTTAGATTTACAACTTTGAACTCCTTCAATCATTAGCCATGTGTCTGCAGGTGTTGGGAAGTATATTATAATACATCTTGAGAGCACTCGTTTGGGTGACCTTAGTACACTGTCTTACTAAATACCATTTAAATTGGCTTTTGTTTTTATTCAAAAACAAACATATTCGTGCTCAGTACCAGTAAATATTATTACATCATTGTTTGGGCTCTTTAAAAACACAAATTCAAGGGTGAGGAGAAATGCTTATGAAATAAGAGAAAGCTAATCTAAATATTTAAATACATTCTGAATCCATTTACCCCCTCTTAAAAGATTATTGTATTTATTTTTAAAACGGAAATCAGATTATACACATGTATGTGTATGAAATTCAACATTCTGTGTCTAACACTTTGAGTAATTAAGTCACTTTAGAAAACACTTTGCATTCATTCTTAAGGACTGTCTAGCACTTCAACATACATAAACACACAGTTACTGAAGTATAATATTTAATATTGCCACATATTCAGGAATATTTGTTTGCAAAGACAAACTGTTTGCAACAATTAAAACCAAAACATTGCAGTCTGTTCTATCATCTCATAATATTCTTGAAGTGAAAATCATATATTTCTGCATATCTTTCCTTATAATAAAATTCCTGAACTGCATTTTCCTGCCTGAATTGTTCAGAATGGCAGGTCATAAAAATATACAGTACAAAACAGAATATACGATCCTTAAAATGCCAGGCAAAAAAATAATATATTTGTGAAATAATTGTGAAGGATTTATATTTATCCCAGACAGCCCCACTAGTACAGGTAGTCCTCAACTTATGACTACAATTGAGTCCAAAATTTCTTTTGCTAAGTGAGAGTTGTTAAATGATCCATTTTATGATCTTTCTTGCTACAATTGTTAAGTGAATCACTGTAGCTGTTACGTTATAACATGGTTGTTAAGTGAATCTGGCTTCCCCATTGACTTTGCTTGTCAGAAGGTTGCAAAAGGAGATCAATGCTCCCAGGACACTACAACTGTCATAAATATGAATCAGTTGCCAAGCATCTGAATTTTGATCACATGATCATGGGGATGCTACATTGATCATAAATGTGAAAAAAGTCCGGTTTTTCAGGGCTGTTGTAACTTTGAAGGGTCACCAAATGAACTTTGTAAGTCAAGGACTACCTCCATTGGCTTTGGACTTCTGACCGGGCTCCCTGAATTAAGATCCTTTCAGTTGTGAGTAACTCTCTGGAGGATTTTGACACCACTATTATTTATTATTGCCTTTCCTCGCTGGCGATTAATTTGCTACCTAGCCCTCACTGTCTTGGTAAAAAGATCTGCCATTATGAGAGAATCAACAGACTGTGGTCCCATCCTGTGTTCGTAACAGTTTGTTAACCAAATGCCTTCTTGCCATGTTAGGTCGGCCCCAATATTGAGATGGCTAATCTATCTGGCTAGTCAATGACCCAAGAGAGGGAGAATTCCCACATATTCCCACATGAGCAATGCCCATCTCTAGTCACCATCTAGCTCTCCTAATTTAGCCTTCCCAAAGAAGGGCTAGTGAAATGCCACACCTTAAGCCACAATTTTCTGGTTTAAATTGAATGGATTAAACTGCCACACCTTGTTGAGTGTGGCAGTTTAATCCATTCAATTTAAGCCAGAAAAAATAGTTTTCAGGAACTGGGAAGATTTACATAATCCTCTTTAATTTCTGGCCTGGGACAAGATCAGGCCCGTATTGTATGATCAAAGCTGAACCCTGAGCTTGTGGTGCTCATACAAACTGGAAGTGAGGAAAGAAGGCCCTGCCTATTGTGATTTTCACATATGACAATCTTGATCCTTTGGAGAAAGAGTGAAGAAATACTAACCCATTCCAGAAAATTCAGAACACTTGTTGAAAGCAAACAGTGAACTCCTATCATTTTCAGCCACAGGCTAGAGGTGAAGTACATTTATGTGAGGGGTTATAGAGATGGACTATAAACGGAGTCCCAACCTCAGTGCCGTAGCCCAGTACTGGGCTGCAGCCTGTTCAGAACCGGGCCGTGCATGCGGCAAGCGGGCACGCATGCGCAGCTCCATTTGTGTGAGCAGCAAGCTGCACACGCCTGCTGCTGACATGGAACCATTTCTTTCCCCCTCCCCCAGCCCCCTTGTTGGTCCACATAGCCGGAAAGGTTGGAGACCACTGAATTATAGGATAGGCTTTTTTAAATCAGTCAGTTGTAAATCTTTTTTTTTTTCCTGAGAAGAAAGACTAACAAACATTTATGAAACCTAGGGAAATACGGTCAATAGATTATCTAAAAATTAATAATAGGGATTGGGTTAAGAAGCTGACCCTCAACCATGATAAACATGCAATTTATATGCAGTTTTCCATTTTTTAATTTTCTTAGAAGGCGGCTGCAAGGGTGTGTGTGTGGAAAATTATTAGATATCCAGTTGTGAGGCAAACAAAGTCTCAAATAGTTTCTCCTTAACAAATACAAGATGAAATAACACTCACTTTGAGTCTTTATGCATAGTGCTAGGCATTAACATTTGTTGTTTGTTTTCCAACAGGTTGAAGCATATTGTTACAGAACTTCATGCTTGAAATTGGGTGTTTTTTGTTCCTTCCCTCCTGCTGAAGGAAACAGAGGAGTTTGGTGGTTTATAGGAATTCTTCCTCCTTCCGTCTCCTTTGTCTCTAAGGGCATGAAAGCTGCTGAACAAACACAGCAATCCGAAATAATTATACTCTGCTGAAAAGCTGGTGTGCTTCCCTCTAGCTGACCACAGTGCCAGCACCTTACATAACTTGCAATCTTTAACTGAACTGCAGCTTGTATTCTGAAGGCTGAACTAAAACAAGGGCAGGCACCACACAGGCACCTCACTCTCCCTTGGGCCCTCGGACAGGTCTCCAACCCTGCAGGCCAATATGCTTGTAGAACTGGTACATCCTATGAAACACAGGACAATTCTGCTCTCCAGACATGCTGATATTGGTTTTCCTGTGGTCAGCAGCCCCAATATTCTGAGGGTTTTGCAGCATTTCAGAATGGAAGCTGTAAAAATGCTGGACCTGGACAACTAGATCTATTCAGACAACAGAAATTGTGTATAACTTACTAATAAGTTCAACATTTCTCTTATGTGATGGTTATTTTTCCAAATATAAAATGCCTGTTGTTTACTTATGTTGGAAGAATATCCTTCTGGGTTCAGTTCCAAGTGGGGGAAAAAACACTGGATTCATGGAAGTTGCTTGGAAAGGTTTATTGATGAACAGGATCACATGGCTTGAGATCCTGGGCAAAGAGCAGAGATGTTAAGAGTGCCTTGGTTTTATTCCCTCTGTTGGGCTTTGAATTTGAGCTTGTATTCTGATTGGTTGTCAGACTCCCATGGGGCCATGCAGGGGCAACTCTGTAGTCTGTCCTGAGTCCCAAGCTTGGTTGAGCCTTGCTGGATGATGATGTAAACTTCCCAGGTGCCATGCGGTGAGTTCTGTTGCTAGATGGGTAGAGGGCTAATCCTACCTTTGTTGGATCTTGGGTGAGGGCATTTGCCTATGAATACACCTAGCTAACTCTTTATCTCTTAAATGCTGAACATCTGCTGTGGGCTATTGAAGAGGGTGGGGGCTATTGAGAGTGAGTCTGCTTCCTGCCTAAAAAACATGTTTCTCCATTTCTCATCCAGGGAAATATAATATTCTGCCTTTTTAATATTTCTTAGAATATTTCATTTTCCTAGGAGAGAGTGGGTGCTAACTTCCTACACTTATTAGAAATATATTCCACCTTGCTCCAGAAACTCAAACCAGATTTATTTGGAATTTCCGTTCCCTCCCCTCCCCAAAACAACAATTCTGGATGTAGAAAAGATTAAGACAGAATAAACTGGCCTAAAATAATCCAGTGAGTTTCTCTGGCTCAAAGTAGAAACAAACTTGGTGCTATTTACTCACATGCCAACCCTTTAACCACTACACCTGAATAATTCTCAAAACCTAGTGTTTCAAAAAAAAATCATTTGTATTACTGTATTTCTTTCAAAATCTCAATTGCTCTTTTGCTTTTAGCAAAAGTGAATAAGATAGATTCTCCAGCTGCTGCTGAAAATGCAACTCCCACCAAGTCCAGCCATCCTGACTATCGTGGGGGATCCCAGGTGTTACAAAGAGGTGGGAAGGAACGCCTCTCCTGCAAGCTCAATCAGGATTGCAACCCTTGTCTCCACTATAAAGAGTCACGGTTAATGTATACCACTCTCTCCACATCTATGCCTTCCAGGTGTGTTAAGAGTTCAACTTCCAGAATTCCCAGCAAGTAATCAGACACATTTGGAGGGCTTTGATACCTGCTTAGCAAAGTAATTGCTGAGAGAAAAAGTGTCCAATTGCTCTAGAACAGGGGTCTCCAACCTTGGCAACTTTAATAATAATAATAATAATAATAATAATAATAATAATAATAATAATAATTTTATTTCTATACCGCCCTTCTCCCGAAGGACTCAGGGCGGTTTACAGCCTATTTAAAAACACAGACAAAACAACAATATAAAATTTAAAATAATTAAATAAATTGGCTCAGATTTAAAACCCCAAAAAATTTAAATACCCCAATTTAAAACTATTGTGTTGATAGTCCGGCCTGGCGGAACAACAGGGTCTTCAATGCGCAGCGAAACACCCAGAGGTCGGAGATCTTACGAATTTCCGGGGGCAGTTCGTTCCACAGGGCTGGGGCTCCCACAGAGAAGGCCCTCCCCCTGGGTGTCGCCAGCTGACATAACTTGGCTGATGGCACCCTGAGGAGACCCTCTCTGTGGGAACGGACTGGTCGGTGGGAGGCTATTGGTGGCAGAAAACGGTCTCGGAGGTACCCGGGTCCTATGCCATGGAGCGCTTTAAAGGTGGTAACCAACACCTTGAATCGCACCCAGAAGACCACTGGGAGCCAGTGCAGCTCGCGCAGGAGGGGTGTCACATGGGCACAACGGGTTGCGCCCATAACCACCTGCGCGGCCGCATTCTGGACCAGTTGGAGCCTCCGAGTGCTCTTTAAGGGGAGCCCCATGTAGAGAGCATTACAATAGTCCAACCGGGAAGTAACAAGGGCATGAGTGACCGTGCGCAGGGCGTCCCGATCCAGAAAGGGCTGCAACTGGCGAATCAGGCGAACCTGATAAAAGGCCCCCCTGGCCACGGCCGTCATATGCTCTTCTAAAGACAGCCGCGTGTCCAGGAGGACACCCAGATTGCGAGCCCTCTCCGTGGGGGGCAAAGATTCACCCCCAATAGTCAGCGATGGCACCTGCTGACTATATCGGGGCGCCGGAAGCCACAGCCACTCGGTCTTGGAGGGGTTGAGTCTGAGCCTGTTCCTCCCCATCCAGACCTGCACGGCCTCCAGGCAGCGAGACATCACATCAAGGGCATCGTTGGGGTGGTCTGGGGTGGAGACGTACAGTTGAGTATCATCAGCGTACAGATGGCACTTCACCCCAAAACCACGGATGATCTCACCCAGCGGCTTCACATAAATGTTGAACAGGAGGGGCGAGAGGACCGACCCTTGCGGCACTCCCCATGCGAGACGCCTTGAGGTCGACCTCTGTCCCCCTGCCAACACGAACTGCGAGCGGTCGGAGAGGAAGGAGGAGAACCACCGCAAAACGGTGCCCCCTATTCCTAACCCCCTCAACCGCTGCAGCATGATACCATGGTCGATGGTATCAAAAGCCGCTGAGAGATCTAATAGGACTAGGACAGAGGAGCAACCCCTGTCCCGAGCCCTCCAGAGATCATCCACCAACGCAACCAATGCCATTTCTGTGCTGTACCCCTGCCTGAAGCCCGACTGGTACGGGTCTAGATAGATAGCTTCATCCAGGTGCCGTGGAAGTTGTCGTGCCACCACGCTCTCAACAACCTTCGCCACAAAACGAAGGTTGGAGACTGGACGATAGTTGGCTAATTCAGCCGGGTCCAGAGAAGGCTTCTTGAGGAGGGGCCTCACTACCGCCTCTTTCAAGGCGGCAGGAAAGGCACCCTCACTCAGAGAAGCACCTATAATCCCCTGGAGCCAGCCTCGTGTAACCTCCCGGGAGGCCAGTACCAACCAGGAGGGACACGGGTCCAATAAACACGTGGCGGCACTAATCTTACCCAGAACCCTGTCCACATCCTCGGGAGTCACAGAATCAAACTCCTCCCAGATAACATTCTCAAGACCTGCCCCGGTCTCCTCCCGTGGACTCATCCAATCGGAGTCCAAGCCATCCCGAATCCGAGCGACTTTATCGTGCAGGAATTGCACAAAATCCTCAGCACGACCCTGCAAGGGATCTTCCCGCACTCCCCCCCGAAGAAGGGAGTGGGTCACCCTAAACAGGGCGGCTGGGCGGTTCTCTGCATATGCAATAAGAGTGGAAAAATGGTTAGATTTTGCCGCTTTTATCGCCACTAGGTAGGTCTTGATATAAGACCTCACCTGTGTCCGGTCGGAATCGGATTGACTAGTCCTCCAAATGCTCTCTAGGTGTCTTTTTCCGACGCTTCATCTTTCTCAGCTCCTCAGAGAACCAAGGAGCTAATTGAGATCGGCATCGGGTCAGAGGCCGCAAAGGCACGACGCGGTCCAAAGCTCCAGCGGTTGCCCTCTCCCAGGCGGCCACCAGCTCTTCAGTCGAGTCGTGTGTTAGAGTCTCAGGAAACGGCCCAAGCTCCGTCAGGAACCTTTCGGGATCCATCAGGCGCCTGGGACGGAACCATCTGGTCGGTTCCGTCTCCCTGCGGCGGGGGCAGGTGGTAGGAAAGTCTAGTTGAAGGAGTGAATGATCTGTCCATGACAAGGGTTTAATATCTAGGTCCCCTCTACCAAGATCATTCAACCACTGACCAGAGATAAAAATCAGGTCCAGAGTGTGTCCCCCTATGTGAGTAGGGCCTTGAAATAACTGGGTCAGGTCCATGGCCGTCATGGAAGCCATGAACTCCCGAGCCACCTCTGACGCCTCACCTGCGGATGGGAGGTTGAAATCCCCCATGACAATAAGTCTGGGGGTATCGACCGCCACCCCGGCAATGACGTCGAGTAGCTCGGGCAGGGTCGCTGCCACGTGGCAGGGAGCCAGGTACGTAGTCAGCAAACCCATCTGCACCTCATGGCCCCACTTCACACAAAGGGACTCACATCCGGCTATCTGAGGAACAGTGGTCTCCCTCGGACAAAGACTCTCCCTAATGATCACCGCCACTCCCCCACCCCTCCCCTGGGCCCTTGGCTGATGAAATGCACGGAAACCTGGCGGGCACATCTCAACGAGGGGGACCCCCCCTCTTGGCCCAACCAGGTCTCCATAATACCTGCCAGGTCTGCACCCCCTCCAAAATAAGATCACAGATGAGGGGGGCCTTATTAACCACCGACCTGGCATTACATAACATCAGCCGCGGACCCTGGGCCTGAGGCTCTACACAACCCAGGACACGAGTCACGCATTGGGGGCCGGAGTGCACAATCGCTCGGAGACAGCGCGTGCGCACCCCTGACACTTGATATGACCCCCTGCGCCCGTCATACCTGCCCCTCCCACTCATGATTTCAATTACACAGCCCTTTCTATCGTCCCCCTGCCCCCCGGTTAAATTTCCTTTCGCGACCCCTCTGCTGCAGCTAATCAACCCATCATCCCGCACAGTCACTATCTGGACCCCCCCAGGTCCACTTTTACAACCCCCACCCGTCCTCCCGGGTCCCCTTAAAATTTGCCTTAAAAATTTAGTTAAAAAACCTCTCAACCCCCTCTTTGCTGCATGCCATCTCTTGGGGTCCCAAAGCCCGTCATCAAGATAGGCCCTCGATAACGTGGAGGGCCAGGCCTGCGAGAGGGGAGAGTCTCGCCGCGCAAGAAGGTCGGTTTTTTGGAGCATCAACCGAACCAAAGATGGGAAAAGAAAAGCCAGTCCGGGAATCTGTCATAGTCCAAGGGATAACTGAGCATAAAGGTCACAAAATATCCATTTATAGGGCTGGACTCCACTGTCCTCTCACAACAGGGACTTCAACTCCCAGAATTCCCCAGCCAGCTTTGGGAATTGAAGTCCACCAGTCTTAAAGTTGCCAAGGTTGGAGACCCCTGCTCTAGAATACTGTGGGCTTCCTACAAAAATTCTAGGCATCTAGACCTATAGGTCTATACTCATGAGTTCATAAATTATATTTGCCTTACTATCAGTAAAATGGGAATGTATGCCTTCTGTCTAAATATATTGTTTGCTATTTTAAACAACTGCCTAACAATAGAAAGCACACTTACATGCAATTTATTTTCCATAAGTGTTTTACAGCAACAACAGCTGCTCATCTATACTTCTCTCGAACACCCATACATAATATACTTGGAAAATTTATCTCTTTTTTTATTCAACAGCTGATGCAAATAAAACTCACACCACCCCACCAGCTGACAAGCTCAGTACAGTATCTTTAACCACTGAGCCATTGTGCCGCCTACATATGTTGCTAAAATAACATATACTTAATTGGGCTCCCCTTGAAGACCACTTGGAAACTTCAGCTAAATCTGGAATGCCACAACCCTGATATTGGTTGACACTCATCACCATGAGCACCTCCTCCATTGAAATTGACCAGCCTGACCCATGTATCCTGGAGAAAACTGCTAATGATTCCCGATTTCTACCATATATATAAAAACAATGAAGCTACTAGGATAACTTCCTTTGGAAATCAGGTTGTTCTTATTAGTTCTCCTAAATGTACTGAAAAACTGGTTTGTAAAGTTTATATGAATGGTGAGACTCTCATAATAAATTGTTACTTACGTCGTAAGAGTACATCACATGAAGTATTAGTGCCGCTCTATAAAACCCTAGTAAGACCACACCTGGAATACTGCAACCAATTTTGGTCAACATACTACAAAAGAGATTTTGAGACTTTGGAAAAAGTTCAGAGAAGAGCAACTAAGATGATCAAAGGTCTGGAGACTAAACCATATGAAGAACGGCTGCAGGTTTTGGGTTGGGCTAGTCTAAAGAAAAGAAGAATTAGGGGTGATATGATGGCATTATTCTAGTATTTGAGGGGCTGCCACAAAGAAGAGAGGGTCAAATTATTCTCAAAAGCACCAGAAGGCAGGACAAGAAACAATGGTTGGAAACTAATCAAAGAGAGAAGCAACCTGGAATTAAGGAGAAACTTTCTAACAGTGAGGACAATTAATTAATGAAACAGCTTGCCTTCAAAAATCATGGGTGCTCCATCACTGGAAGTTTTTAAGAAGAGACTAGACAGTCACTTATCTGAAATGGTATAGGTTCTCCTGCTTGAGCAGGGGGCTGGACTAGAAGACCTCCAGAGTCCTTTCCAAATCTGTTCTGTTCTGTTCTAGTCTAGTCTAGTCTGTTTTTATGTTTATTAATAGGATTAATATAGGTATTAGGAAGTGCTGTTGTTTTATTATTCTAAAGTGCTGGGAGTCCATTAACTGTAAAAGATATAAATTTTGAGAAATAAAAAAAAAAGATAGCTGTCATTTCTCCCCATAATATTCTTAAAGTAAAATGGACCTGCTTTTTCAGTCGATCACTTTCTCTGGGTATGAAACTAGCGAAGGCCTACATTATGGTCATAGTCTCATTCTTTTGTAGCAAAGACTCCAGTCCAATGACTATTGAGGGTGGGATCTTGAGTGGAGGCAGAGAGAAATACCCCAAGAGCTCAAAAAGAGTACGTTATAAAGCATGTCCTCTTTTGTCTTTTTCCAATCCAGCTTTGTTTTTTTCCCTCCCTCCAAAACAAGAGAAAGATTATTATTGCCTTCAAGGCAAGCTATTATAAATACATAATGGGCAATGTCTTTGTCTTTTTTTTTTTTCTTGTAACCATTGTGAGAGAAAGGGTAAACTATCCTCCTCTCTTTGCCCAGAAGCCTAGTTTGGAAAAGAGCCATCTCTCAACATGGCCTCCTTTTTCATGTGGTGGGCCATTGTTAGGATTGTCATTATCTCCATTGGAGAAATTCCATGCAATAATGGCTGCTTATATAATTGCTTATGTAACAAGTGGCTGAAAAAGACAGAAAACAAACATGGGGAGAAAAAATTGGAAGGAAGGAAGGAAGGAAGGAAGGAAGGAAGGAAGGAAGGAAGGAAGGGCTATACTGTTGTTATTTGCTGAAATGATGGGGCAACTTTACTTTCTTATGAGGAAAAGATTTTAAGGTACTTTAATATTCTTAGAGCAGGATATGAAAGAAGGGCTTAATGAACATTCTTATCATCAGCACTTTCTATAAGCTAATGTTCATTCTATTATCACCATTAAAAACAGTAGCAACACTTTCATTATGCTATAGCAGCAACAACAAAACAACAACAACAATAATACATTCTGAATGCTAAAGGTATCATTGGAATATGCCTAGAAGAGCTATGGATTATGACCTGGGACAGGTCAAGATGGAAAGCATGCAGCCTTCGAAAGTTGGGCCTAGTTTGATAGTATGTAACTATTATTGTTTGGTGCTTATCTCTCTCATGCATGAATGCAACTAAATTATCTCTCCTAAATAAACAGCAGAATTCTACTTGTCTCTACATTTCTTTCTGTTATTTGTACTTTTCCTGTTACCCACTGCTGTTCTGTCCTCTTGTTGTTCTTTGCCACTTTAGAGGTGTCTTCCTTACTTTTTATAGGAGCGCCTGAACTTTTGCTGAAGGAGAATTTCAGGGATTTAGTTTATCAGGCTGAAATCCCTTTCCCAGATAACAAAGTTATTCTGCCTCTGGCCACTTTGGATGGAAGATGATACACGAAATAGCTGAAAATTCACCCCTAGGAACAATGATTTGGGATCAGTAAAACCGCCAGGAAATTCATTTCTAAGATGAGAGTTTGACTTCAGATCACATTGCTAATATAAATGTTTTCTCAGCCTTAGAATAGAATAGAATATCAGAGTTGGAAGGGACCTTGGAAGTCTTCTAATCCAGCTCTAAACTTTAATGCTATTTCCAATAATTATTTCCAACAACTTGCTCTTCAAATGTCTTCTCCATTATTAATAGATTTGCAAGAGCCAATACTGAGAAAGACTGATTTAACAGAGGACATATAATTCAGTCAGAGCTCCCACATTTTAGCCCCAAATTTTATTGAAAAGGGATCTTTTATTCTAAAACCTTACCCAGATCCCAGGGTGGTCCTTGTACTCAATAGTAAAAGAGAGATTTCTCTTTTTGTGTTTATTTTCCCTGGGAATGTGAACAGAAGGTACAGCCAACTCTGCAGCTGACTGGCAGACCTTCCAAAAGGCCTTGTGAAATCAGGGAAAATGGGAACATATTTCATCAGTTCATACAATGACATCGTCACCACATTGTTTTTTTCGACATATCGCTTAAATTACTCCATATACCATGGCCACTGTGTAATTCCTCACTGGCAGTTACTTGTTAGTTCTCTATATTACTACAGTTTTAAAAAAAACCTTAGATTCTGCTCCTCAATGTCAGGTAAACTAAGTATTTTGAGGGGGAAAAATACAAATAGGTGATATTAGGATATCAGTCAAATACCACAATTCTGTACAAGTTTTCATAGTATCTACAAGTCTTCAGGCAGATATTACCACAAAGAAAAATTAGCCGTTCAAGCCACTTTTTAAAATAGCCTTTCCAAATCTATTTGTAAGTAGTATGTGTTTGTGTATATTTAACCTAAAAAACTGTCTACGTTCATTACAGAGATGGCTGTTAATATGCTTTCTGAGACAAACAGCAACAGCCAAAACCAAAGAGAAACTCTTCCACAAAGTACATATTTTTTCCAATAAGACTAGCACTGGATCAATCCACAAGCATTTCCATTGAAAAAATGAAGTATCCTTGTATGAGGTCTGTCAATCCAATGCTAGTCAGATGCACCTGGTTGTCTTTTCACAAAGATCAGGAAAAAATAAAATAAAGGCAGTTCCCCTGTAAGTTATCTTGCGCTCTTGAGGAGGGGAGGAAAGGTTACAAATTAATAAACAGACACAAGTAAATAAAGAAGGCAAGTAAAAGACCAAAACAGAGTTTCTTAATTTCAGCACGCCAAAGCGTGAAGAGGGAAGGGTATTATTGTTATGGCTAGTTATTGTAGAGAGTATGAAGGTGAGATATGCAAAATATTCTGAGTAATTACAAGATAAACATAAGAATATTTATACAAATAGGAAGAGTTTCTCTGTCACCAAGAGAAAAACATTGTAGTTAGATGTCTCTCCTTGTCTTTCTCATTGATTAATCAACTACCATATTTTCTCCTATGCTACATCTCCACATGCAGGGAACTTTTTCCAAAAAAGTTCTACGGTACCCTACTCAGCCCGGCCCTACTCAGTTGCAGTCTGAATGCAGCATGCAAATTGATCCTCATCTCTTCTATAAAGGTGTGCTGTTCTACACATACCTTCTCCTGTACCTTACAACAAGAGATGTGTAAAAGTATAACACCAAATGCAAGCTTTTTGTATCTAGCTACATACATATTATCTTTGAACAAGATGAGACAAAGGCATTCCAGATTAAGATTCCAGAATTCAGAGCATTTCCTACAACAGACCTGTCCCTGGGCCAAAAGAGTCGATTTTTTGGGTAAAATTGGAATGGTTCAGTAGCATAAATAGAAAGTGATACACAAATACTTCTCTTTCCTCAGCATATTAATTGCAGAGCTTGGTTCTCATAAATGTACAGCTGGCCGTTTTGTCTTCATCTCATGCAGATGCTGCCAAGATTCTGGAAACTTAGAATGTTAGCCACATCCCTCTATCCCTGTCACTGAATGGAGTGTAGGTATCTACGGAAGAACAGAAGAGGAATTCAAAACTGTTCCTGTTTGCTAAAACTCTAAAAGGAGAGAAGACAAGATCATAAGGAATATTTGTGTTGATTTTACAAAAGCATCAAAAAAGTGCAACCTATGGCATTAGATGCAGAATATAGTTTCTAAGAATCTCCTTATCTTTTTTTGTTTACAAGGAGTCTTATCATTATAATAGCTAAAAGAGGCATTTCCTTTTCATTGCTGATAAAAGAAATCTGAAACATGGAGATATTGCTGATTATTCATGTTGACAATGCCTTCTGAAATCTCAGACACCAGAGTGAGGAGCTATGTAAGATGTGTAGAGACCAGGGATAAGATAGTTTGTCAGTGGCCTGCATAGCTCTTTGCCCTTTTCAATAAATTAATTGAAAAAGGAAGTTCAGTAACTGTCTCATTTTTAATGCAGAAAATATTTATGGCAGTAATCCAAAGCAGTGACTCATGCAGAGACAAACATAACAAGCAGATGAGTACTTCTGTTGCATCTCTGCATGGGAAGCAAATAAATTATCCACACACAGCTCAAATAGAGGCATTAAAAACTATTATCCACATTATTCAACAATTGTTGTTGTTGTTGTTGTTAGTCACACAATCAGCCAGATGATTAGATCACTTGGCATTTTTATCCATCAAATTTTCCCCAAGAACCTGGGGTAGGCAGATGTTGTTGTGTGATGGTGTTATCTTTGCAGGATATAAGCTGCTCCAAGTAAAGCTGCCTTTTGCAATTGACTGTTATTAAAATTTGTTGTTGCTGCTGCTCACTGCAACGACTCTGGATATAGGCCAAAAGAAAGCAGAAGCACTCTGAAAGTTATTATTTTAGATTCACAGAAATCTTGAAGTATTAACTTTTTCTTTTCAGTTTTTTTTCCATGAATTTTTTTCACAAGGAAGAGCTTTTGGCACATAGTTTGGGAACTAATTGAACTAGAATACGTTCAGTGAATTAGTGAGTGAAGTATACATTTCCCTTTTCTTTCTTAAAGGAAAATATATTGCCTTCCAATCTAGAAAGGGTAGTGCGAGACAGATAGTCCTATGACATTGCACAGGACTGCAAAATATTTAGATTCAAGAAATGCTTGAAGAAAATGCATGCTAGAAGACCCAGCAGTATAATTCAGCTGATTTTATTTCTTTTTCCTTCTTGCAGGCCAGCCTTGGCTGCTACTGTGTGTGTTCAATATCCATCTTTAGACTATATAATGAGCAAAAGATTAGTGCTGACTTGTTGTAACCATGAACCCTGCCCTCTTCAGAGTAGTTTACCAATCTGATTGCTTATTCCAAAATGCTGACATCACAAAGAACAAATCAAGAAATTACATAAAAGGCCTCTACTGATTTATAGCCAAGTATTTTTCCTCCTCCCTCTCCCAAATCAAGGGGCCAAATTCCATCAACCCCTATAAACTAATTAAGCCCCAAAAGCTGGAAAAAAATCCCCTAGTAAATAGCTTCCCTTCTCCAATATTAGTAATCAGAGGGTCCGATTGGGGTCTTGCATCCTGGAGCATTATTTCATACGATCTTGGCCCCAAGGCAGGTACTTCATCATAAGAAAGGACTTGATGGTATCTCTTTCAGGTCTTTGATGGATAATAACTAAGCCCACAAATAAGCAATCCATAAATCTATTCTAGGAAGTGGGGAAATCAGAGAGTTGGTCCATGATCGGTATGTCTGAATTGTTGTTTCTAGTACAACAACAAAAAAGTTAATTCTGAAAAGGAGAATGATGAATTAATCTGAGGGCACTGAGGAATGGATCTCAATTTTAAACCTTGTTCTAAGAATGCAGTTTATGGAATAGCATGTCTTCTGTACACCAGTATATAAGAATCCACTTTGCTGACAGTGCATATTGCCAAGGTGTCTGGATGGAAGTGTGTTTACCTGGAAGGAACCTTGTTCAAAAGATAGGTAGATAGATAGATAGATAGGTAGGTAGGTAGGTAGGTAGGTAGGTAGGTAGGTAGATAGATAGATAGATAGATATAGATAGATAGGTAGGTAGGTAGATAGGTAGGTAGGTAGGTAGGTAGGTAGGTAGGTAGGTAGATAGGTAGATAGATAGGTAGGTAGATAGGTAGATAGATAGATAGATAGATAGATAGATAGATAGATAGATAGATAGATAGATAGATATAGACAGACAGACAATCTTCTGATTAAGGTTCCCTCCAGGTATACATATGTATGTGTGTTTAAATAAATCAATAATTAAAACCTATGAGACCCACCCCACCCAACCTACTTTTCAACCAAACAATGTCAGCAAAGAACAGCTGAGTTTTCTTGGAGGGTACCCTTTTTGTATTACATTACCTTAATAAGCAACATAGTCTAATTAAAGTCATAACATAACCATTGCATCAAAGGTGGGGGAGGGGGAGAGAGGCCTAAGTACAGTTTGGGGCCAGCCTCCATCAGATAAATGGGATGGATGCACAAAGTCCTTATAATCTGCTCATTCTGGGCAAAACAACCAGCAGCGTTATAGCTGGGCTCCCACTATCTGAATGCTCAAGTCTACATAACCATCAGAATCAAACTCCCTACCTTGGACTCCCCCACGCAATCTCTAAATGACAAATTTCTTCCTCTCCTGCATGCATCACAAGAGAAGCTATATAATTCTTGTACTGTATCCTGAACTTTAAAGATTGGGAAGAGCCGAATGATCCAGAGCAGTGGTGGGATTCAATTTTTTTTACTA